GAAGCTAACAAGGAATCGTCGCCATCACCGGAAAAGAATGAGAAAAAGACAAGGGGAAGATTTATGGAAATGAAATTAAGGAAGAATCGGGAAGCAACGCTCTTTTTTACACCGACCGAGGTCGGCTCCTCTTTCATGTGATTCAGGTATGTAAAAGAGGCTTAGGATTCATAGTTGATAGTCGTCATCAAAGTTCCTGATCAGGTCACGCAAAAACATCCCACTCCTTTATCAATACTTTCTATTGTTCCGTTAATTACTAATCACTCGTTATTTTCTTTTCTTGCTCTCTCTAGATCTCCATCAAATGGCTCTCGTCGGGATGAATGCATGACGTTGGGTTGTAGAGGGGATGGGGAAGAAAGAGATGGAGAGGTTGGAAGCAGATGGGAAGGAAGGCTATATTACTAAGGAACTGAATAATTTGCATACGCAGACTCGGCACATCCCAGACATGGTGTAGTCCGGCGAGGCGAAGCTAACAAGGAATCGTCGCCATCACCGGAAAAGAATGAGAAAAAGACAAGGGGAAGATTTATGGAAATGAAATTGAGGAAGAATCGGGAAGCAACGCTCTTTTTTACACCGATCGAGGTCGGCTCCTCTTTCATGTGATTCAGGTATGTAAAAGAGGCATGGGATTCATAGTTGATAGTCGTCATCGGAGTCTTCCTCACATCAAACCTTTCTTCTTCACATAGAGTCTCATCTGCGATGCATCCTTGATTTTATTTATTATCAGGATTCCATTGTTGAATAATGGCGACTCTAGCTTCCCACGATGTTTCCTTAACGGTCTCCTTTCTTATCATCTGTTACCGCGTTCACATTAATAATTGGAAAATAAATGCTAGATTTTATTTAAATAAATTAACTATCGTTTAATCTTAAAATAAATTAATTATAACTTATTACTTACCATAAATTATTTTAATAATTTAATTAATTTTTAAATCATAAATTTATATGTTTATTAAATGGCAAAGTATTTATTAAAAGTATCGCTTAAATGGTTACAATATAAAATTCAAATTTATTTACATCTGATAAAATAACGTTTGTTCATTATTATTTGTATCCTCTATACTACTAATGCTATTTATATCATGGTCCATGTTGCTTGTGTCATTTTCGTCAGCGCTGTTCATGGTATTTGTATATGATGAATCATCAGATAAAAAATTATCCTCTTCGATCAATTCAATTTCATTAGATTCTGTATTAATAATATTATCTTCCAGTAAATAACCTTTTTTTTTTAATTCGTCAATTGAAAGTGGCCATTCTAGTGAACGTAAAATTCGAAGATTCCAGTAAATATATACAATCTTTTCTACACGTGGATTAAGTAAACGATTGCGCAATTTGGTATGGATAAAGCTAAAAGTAGACCAATTTCGCTCACTAGCAGCTGATGTTGCAGGTATTGAAAGTACCTTTAATGCTATATCACTTAATATTGGATATCGTGCCTTAACTAAATTCCACCAATTATATGGTTTTTCTTTTATAGGACCCCACAAATGATTAATTGAAAATCCACCAATTTTTCCTACGAATTCGGCGAATTCTTCTAAAATCTGATCTTCATTTTCTGGTCCAGCAAGACGCATAAGTTCTCTTTCAATTATAGCATCCCATCTTTTTGGATTTAAAGTTTCTCCACAATATCGAGGATCCAATTTGTATGCTACTATAGTTGCCGGATTATATAAAAAATTATCCCAACGCCATTCTACTAATTTTAAACTTTCTGTAATTACAATATTTGGAATTTCAGTATTATTACGTATTAATTTTTCTAATTGTTGTAATTTGAAAAATGCTACTGATAAAAGTGGTATATCTCCCTCTAATTCATGAATAAATTTAACGAAAGGTTCCAAAAAATCCCGAAAATATTTAAGATTTTGCCAAAAAGAATCATCCATAATATGAATTTTAATATTAGAATTAATTTCAATACTATCTTCAATTAAGAATGAACGAATTGCATGTTTTGTTTGTAATAAATGATCAATACAATAAAATGCGGACCCCCATCGTGTTTCTATAGGTAATACTAAAGAAATTATATGTCCATATTTTTCTATTTGAAGTCGACGAAGTATTGCTAATGGTATATAATGTGTTCGAAAATAATTAACAATTTTTTTACTAATTTCTAATATATTTTTTGACCAATCTAATTTTAAAATATCTTTAATCCAAAGATTAATTCCATGAGCCCAGCATCCTAAAAATATTTTTGTTGGATATCGTGTCATAAGAATATTCCAAGCAGCTTTCATATTTGTTGCGTTGTCGGTAATAATAGCCACAAATTTGTTGACATCCAGTTCTTGTATTACATTATCTATTCCATTCGCAATATTTAGTGCTGTATGTTGTTCTTCATTCATATGAATAGATTTGAAAAAAAGAGGTTTAGGGGTTGTAATAATATAATTGATTATAGAATCTCTACGAATATTTGACCAACCATCTGTTATAAGACATAAAAATGGTGTTTC